TATCAGAACAAAATCCCATGCCTATGATTTTGCTGCCCTTTTCGTATTGATGGAGTTATTACTAACAGCCACATCTGATGCTGTCCCTGTTATTTGTGAATCATATTAGACAGGGTCTGTGGTTATACAGAAAAGACAGCCAGTGAAATCTCGCTTGCAAAATGAGTTATTATGCAACACGCATTACGACTGTCAAATTGTTCGGTTGTAAATGAAGAACATCTTTTTCATGACATATTGGGTTTTAATCTTTATATTTCCAGATATGGAACGTGATTTTTAACTGAGGCAACTGATCAACCAGACGATTGTGGATTGCGAATTTGTAGCTTTTTATAATTGACAAATATCGAATGATGAATTGCTCTGTTAAAATGAAACATAATGTGGTGCTGTTATTGGTTTGTCAAGGAGGCATTTTGACGAAAGTGTTTCTTCAGTGAGCGAGATAGAGGCAGGGGAGTAGACACATGTTTTGAACATGCACATCTATACTGAAACACTCCAGTAGTCTCCACGTGCATATAACAGGGTTTACCCCTTCAACAATATAGACAGAACATAGAAGCATTGGAACATTCCCGACCTGTTCTAAAGAATATTGTCAACATGATCAAGTCAACATACCTTTTACTGACATTCAAGTGATCGAATTCATTAGAACAAAGTCCTTTCGTATATTTATTACTGTCTATTTATTGAATAGGATACCGAAATCGACCTCGTTACGAAGGATTTTCATATGTTCACAAGATAATTGAAAATTAATCTATGTCTTGTCAGTTTCAGAAACAGAGCTCGTATGTTCAACATCAAAGGATGATGGTGACTGCTAACAGGTTGCTAACATTCACTGAAGAGGAATGAGATGGCACATTCTAATTATAAATGATTGAAAAATCCTTAGATTTGTAGTCATAATGTTTTACGATTGTCAAGAGCTCTTTCTGTTTGTTTGTAATCAACTGATCTTATTGATCCATGTGTTATTGGACAAACTCTGCAGAGAGCACTAAATTTCTTCGGGAAGATGTTCAAGGTATACTTCAAGTGCTATACCTCCTTCTCTGGTTAACAAGACCTCACATGATATTTCAGACGAACATTATGCCACTTAAGATCTTTCTATTTTTGGCACTTCTTGTGGACTCTTTAGGATACGTTGTCTTCAAATGAGCCATACTGCGTTTTTTCAGGTTGCTGACCATGTACTTCCTCGCATGATGTTCATTTCATTTTCACAACTAGTTTGCCTTTTGCATCAAATAGAATATTCTCCGTTGGCAAATCATCATGAGGCCGGTTATTTTTTAGCATTGACGTTTCATGTTAATTACCATTGTGACGCTTTTGAGATTTAAATACTCGCAACACGAACTCTTTCTAATGTTGCTGCTGCCAAGACACCCGCTTGTTTCTGCAGCTAAGATGGTGGTTTAATGAAGTAATAGCGATACCCAGAAGTTTCTGCTTATGGCGAGGGGGAAAGCCGGATCCTAGTTCCACAGAAATATCGTCAATGAGTGATGTATTGAGTCACTGTACTCCTTCTGGCATGATAGTTGCATTTGAACGTCAACACATTGTGACATGAGATGTTAGTGCATTCTTCTGGTCCAGCTTGAGTTGGGATATTTCACGGTTTTCAAGACATGAAGTGATTATTAAATGTCGAAATGAATGCAATAAAGAAGATAAACATCAGATCGAATACCGTCTATTCGTTCACCATGGCTTACTTGTGGGTTTACATATAATTAATATAACAGTTCCAGGACAACGCAGAAGGACTGAGAACACTTTAGCAAAGTGTATAATGATAAATAACTTGCCTCAAACGAAGTACTTTCCTACATAAGAACTTCCTGTATAATTAGTTTAAAAAAAGTTTCATTATAACACACTAATGTTGAAGAATCAGGCTGGACAGTTAGCTACTTTAGAATAGTTGAAGTGTCAATTAGAACGTTCTCTCTTCCGAAATGAACAACACCTACATGTACATAACCGTACACTCCTTTGAAATAGAGAGATGCTGCTGTCAAACTTTCTATTGGCATCACAGACTGTGGGGAGTTCAATGAACAGATGTGAAAGTGTGTGAGGAACCTTTTCTCACATAATTACTGTCATCCATGTTGTAATAAACACAGCACAGCATTGAAGACGTACAGCAAAAGCATCCAATACTTGTCTGAATTTCACTGAAGGTAAAGATAGGGCAGGTTGGATCATTATTGACTCCGACAGGCCTTTGTAAGAAGTTTTGCAATTATTGTATGTACGTCTTAGGCTAATGGATTCTACTGTTGATGTTGAGGCTTTGTTGACAATGTTCTAGTAATTTTCCTGCGTCACCGTATTGTGGTTTTTAAAAGAAAACCTTTCCATTAAAGTATTTATACGTCTTACTACATCCACGTATCCACATTTACACACTTGTGTCCGCCAAGCACTCAATTCAGGTCGCTTGTGTTTGCAGCCTTTGATGAACATCACTTGAATTTGACCACTCTTTCAGAGAGTATTAACCTGGTACTTGGTATTACCGATTCTTTATACTATATCCACCAGTTTTCATTGACAAATATATCCCAGTCGCAGTTCATACCGCATCGCTACTCTCTGAACAGTCATCTGATGTAATTAAACAGCATTATCTTATCTTGTATATTACATTGTAATCGAATGTGATTTGGAAAGTGGGGTGGAGGTTTAAATCCATTTAATCGGAAACTGACGGGTAAAGATGTAAGTAAAGATGAACAGAGTTTGAAATGAACAATATATTTCAATATGTTTTTTCTGCTTTGTTGCTTAGAAAACAAAAACACGATTAACATCATTATCAACTTGCACTGGCTTCCATCTACTCTCTCACTTCGAGATTCATCTTCGAGACTGCCTAACAATGGTATCACCTTCATATCTTAAGGACTTGATCTCCCTGTATTCTCCTGAACTGAACTGGATCCCCAGTAGGACTCAACTTAATCAGTCTCTGTCTATTTCTACGATGTCTGACCGTGACTTATCAGTTTGTAGTCCCTAGTTATGGAACTCTCTACCCTCTGAACTAAGAAACACCAAATTCAATGATCTTTCAAGTCTCTCCTTAAAACACACCTCTTTCGCACAACATTCAATTAGAGTTTCGGGAGCGTGTGTTTATATTTGCATGGATTTGGGTTTAACTTTAGCAATGGATACGAGACGCTTTAGAAATCAATTATTATTAGTACTAGTATTATGTTTTAGTTTTGGAGTTAGCAATGTTGACATCAGCCATGCAGCATGCACTGTATAGCTGTGACATAGGTGTACATATGTACGTATCTGCCAGTTTGGTGGGAAAAAGGAAATGAAAGCAAATTACATGTCTTCAATGTGGTTACAATTTTAGTGAGAGCAAATACGTTCAGGTTTGGAATATTAATCAGTTCCTGAGCCAACTCGTATGCAACAACCGGGTTAACTTATAAACTGCAGAGTGACAAGTCAATTAACGGGTTTTCTGTTGCAAATGTTATTTCAAATCTTTTAACAGCTGGTATTTGGGCAACGTGAAGTTTGAAGAATCTACGCATATACCAGACCAGACGTAAGAATATGAGATTATATGTTGCCAAAATGTCTCTACCTTCTGAAATTTGCATTACAAATTACATATCTTTTAAGACACTTTGATCACCCCAACTTTGAGATGTCAGTCACGCTTACTAATTAACAAAAAGAAACAACGTTTCCCCTTCAACGTTGCTGCTGTTACATTTAAGAGTTTATTTTCGGAACATTATTTGTGGAAACAAATAGCGGAATACATGCAATACACAGTTTCCTTTAGTAACACATAATAACACTTTCAGAGTATATTTATTCATCTGCATTAAAAAAATAACCATGGTTGTTCCAAAACATAACATTACATATATCCCAGGATAAAGGATTAAATGTCGAATGAGTGAGTGAGTGGTTTAACGCCGCTTTTAGCAATATTCCAGCAATATCACAGTAGGAGACACCAGAAATGGGCTTCACACATTGTACCCATGTGGAGAATCGAACCCGGGTTCGACGCTTTAACCACTACGCTAGGTCACCGCCCCAATGGGGAATGAAGCAAACACATTAGAAGAAAATGTCATTGAAAGAAAGAGTGAGTATGCTTATCCACAGCGTTTAGCAATATTCCAGCAATATCACGTCAGGAGACACCAGAAAAAGGACTTCACACATTGTACCCATGTGGAGAATCGAACCCGGGTTCAACGTTTTAACCACTACGCTAGCTCACCGCCCCTATGGGGAATGACAATATCATGGCGGAACATTTGCAAATCATGGCGGAATATATGCAAAGAAAACGCCCACAATGCTGATAGATTTAGTCAACACATACTTGTCAATACAATTCATAATTATAGATATCACACTGTGAAAGGCAACCAGGAGAGAATATTACATGCTCGTAATTTCTTCCTGGATAGCTTGCTTTTGATATTGTTACGGCTCAGGTTACTAACTCACTTGTGATATTGCCTCTGTAAAAGACAATACATCTATTCATTAAAAACCATGCAACAGATTATGTATGTATAGGAATTGCCTTTGTAAACACAAACGAGGTCTACGTAATTCATTTTTCAATCTCAAGTTAAATTTGATAGCATTTCCTTCAGTTACATAACAAAAGCTTTGAAAGAAATGCGATTGCTATCTTCAATATTGCTGTATTCCATTTACCTCTGACCGCAAGTGAGGAGCCTGGAAATACAGAATATATCAGAATCCTTTCATACTGGATTTCGGGGTATTGATTTCAAGGGTCATTCATGGACAACTTTATTGTTAGGCATGCTAGAAAATATTTGAAAACCGTGACCATATTTACTAAACTGATACAATATGTTTTCTCGAAACAAAACTGGTCTATTCTGGTTGCCAAATGATAAGTATATTTCAAGCCTATCCAAGCATTAATGCATTTGGGGACCCTTAAAGTGTCCCTTCACGCGGTGTTTAAGGATGAATTAAACAACATTGCACAAGGAATGGGCAAACTGGTATTTTTTGTTCATTTGACATTATTGCCGCTATAAATATTTATAACATTATCATAAGAAGGTTGCAGTTCATTTCCGAATCACGTGAAAAGTTGTTAAAGTCTAAGCAGTGAAAGGACAGTTCTCTATCAGCCACTCCTTGCTGCTGAATTGCTGAGAACAATCACAAAGCAAACACCTGTGGTCAACACTTCATTGCATTTCTCTTGCTAAGACCGTCACACGTAAACATCACAGGATGAAGAAAGCGATGATTCTATTCCTGGTGGCTACAATTTGTGCTGTAACCCTAGCAGTATCAGGTATTACTTTGTTTGTCTTGTTTCTGAGATTTGAACTGATTACGTTTTGGTTTGTTAGCACCATACCCGTGTTCTTGTGTTTCACTAAGGCGGTAAAGACCTGCATGTCATCAAGCTCACACGCCATCATATAACTGAAATGTTGTCCAAAGTGGAGTTACACTCATTCATTTGATGTATACTTTATCAGAAGGGCTGACACTTGTACCATCATATTTACGCTATCTTCAGGGGACCTTTTGATGTTCAGTTATATGCGCTTGTGCTGCATTTAACACATATGACTATTCACGTCAATGTTAGCACTTCCCATTACAGATCTGATTTTGAAGCTGTTCAAACACTGGCGATTGCTTCTTGAATTGAATATGCATTACATGGAGAGATGAGTTTACGTGTATGTAAAAGATGAAGTGATAATGTATTCCGTCAATTCGTCCATACTTTCATGTTTCTGGCACTTAAAAGTTGAGGTCATTACGGTTACTGTACGTGTTGACATTTTCACGTGTAACATTCATGATCGACATTTCCAGATGACTGAAATGTATACGGATATCGCTACATGGTTCAAGCCGTTTTGAACATTCAGAACAAAATCCGGTTCAAACTCACTTCATATATAGTAGAGCCGTTTTATTTCCATATTTAACACACGCAGCCGAATCGTATTGTGTCGAACTGATCCGTCGAATTCCCGGTTGTGTAGAACTCACCCTCGTAATGTATACTCGGATCAGTGTCAGATATCTGGTTGTCTCGAGCTCATCACAGAGTCACATGTATACAAATTAGTAGAGAAAAAACTCCAGATGACTCGAACACAGATTGAGTTGATTGTGTTAGTGAATCTGTCTTTATTATCTACAGAACATAGTAGATTAGAAGTTGTGTAATGATCTGTCATAACCTGATGCTTCGTTTGAGGAAAGAACTTTTGTTGGTTTTCTCGGACAACGGATAGCATGTTACATCGTGTAATATTATTTTATGAGACAAACAGTACAATATCAATGTTTTTCGTCACAAATTACAACAACGTTTATGAAACCAAATGTACAAAATTGTGTTTTTTTAAGTTGATGATCTCACCCCTGATCAATGCCTATATGGTGGAGTGGTGTACAACAGCGGCGATAGTTTCAAGTCCACCGATGGTTGCAATAGGTGTGGCTGCGGGGGAAAGAACGCTGTGTTCTGTACGCTCATGGCTTGCATTCCAACAAACGTTGATGGATAGAGGGGATGCTGATGCAGTACAACACCCCGTGTAGCATCCAAAATGATACATTTGTAATCCCAACAATAAACTGTTATATGTTGTAGAACATTTCCTTGTGTCAGTTTTGAAAAGAATGCACTATCCAAAAAGCAACGAATATGCTTCCATGTTGGTATAGACATGTATGTTTCTCGGTAAGAGAGTAGTTGTCGCACCGTCAATTTGCACAATGCAAACCACAGTTAATGAGTTATTGAGTACAGATCGCCCTGGAAACATATTAGTTTCTTACTATCAAGGGCGGTGGGGAAGCCTAGTGGTTAAAGAGTTCTCTCGTCACGGCAAAGTCCCGTGTTCGAGTCCCCACATGGGTACCATGTGTGAAGCCCATTGCTGGTGTACCCAACCGTGATATTGCTGGAATATTGCTAAAAAACGGCGTAAAACCACACTCACTCACTCTTACTATCATCTAAAATGAAGAAAACTCTAAAAAATCCTGTCGACAACGAAATAAGTATGTATTTTCAAAGCAACATGGCCTAAAAGGTACACATTACTGAAAATTAGTTTATCTCTTAATTGTTATCTCTTAAGGTGCGACGTTAATGTCTTCTTTAGTTTGTGAATTCCGCATCTGATCGCGATAAAACACATATGTATAATCACACGCCTGCATATTAGCTTCTTCCCAATCACTTAACAGTTCCTTTACCGTAATGGTTTCTACGTTTTTCTTCCTGATTACACACACTGGAAGCTATTTCCATATACTCTGGTTTCTACATGGTGTGTGAAGGAAGAACTTATGTACTCGTTTTACTGTGAGAACGAGAACGAGAACTCTTTGATAATTCACAATGTCACACTGTGTCATTTACTGGTCTTTAATAAAAGAGATATCAATTCTATTCCACATGCTCCATTTCACAGACACCAAAACAGCTATGCCTGATTTTCTACAACAAAACGACATCACGAAGTTGGTACTCATGCTCTAACCTTAGTTACAAGAACACAAGGATGAACTAATCCATGTTTTCCTCCCCCACTTAACATGTAAACCAATTATCACATTTTAGAAGTCGCTGATGATTGATCAGTCTTGTGTGGCTGACTGAGACAAATCTGAAATGCACAGGCGAAGAGGCCCTTACTACACCAGTGTCCTAACCTGATCAGTTGTAGTGCCTGCTTATTTCACAGTCATCGCTGCTCCCGAAACACTTGACGGAGCTGACAGCAAGATGTACACTGAACATGTATGAGAGGCATTCCCCATGGTTGCAACACCTGCATCTGTGGTCCAGCCTTGTTCACTGCCTGCACCAAAATGACATGTCTTCCCGAAAATACGTTGGATAGGAGGAACCAATAATAGAGACATTCCCGTCCAAGGATGGTTGCAGCACCTGCATCTGTTGTTCAGCCTTGACCATGGGCCACTGTCTGTACCAAAACGGCATGTCCACCCCAATGACGTTGGATAGCAGGAACCAATACTAGAGACATTCCAAACCAAGGATGGTTGCAACACCTGCATGGTTACTGGTTACTGTCGGCACCAAAATGACATGTCCACTCCCAGACGTTTCGAAGAAGGAACCAGTACTTGTGCATGATAACATGTTTCCATTGAGTTAATGGTGATAATAAAGCTAACAGGATTTAGAAACCCAGATTGTCTCCCAATTGGTATAATCCATACGGATTTAATATGGACTGGACCACGTGAACCCTGTGCTTGTCAGGCGAGGCGTCTCTCTGGCGATATTCTGCGTTACTTGTGTTGATGGAGGTAGAGAGTCTGGTAGTTGCGGCCACAGATGCCAGAAGGATTTGGTCCAATACATCACTTCGACCATAAAACCATCAGCATTCTAGACAAGTTATAAGATAGATCCTGTGTCACCATTCAAATTGTTTTGCCTAGACAACGTGCACAATCTATTCAAGTACATATATGATCCATGTTTACGATGTCTGACTTGATACTGAGTGGGGAGCTAAATAGTGAAGCATTTTCCTGGTTACGTGGCCATTCTTTGCTGTCTGATGCTCGCATTTTGACATCTATTTCTTAAACCCGACAACACTTTGTTTCAATTTTGATTAGGGTAATTTTTTACAAGAATTGTAATCTGTATTACTTTGACAAATTACTGAACTTAGCAGATGTTTTGTAAATAGAAATACTACTCTGACTGTCATGCTGATGAGTGCCGCAGTGTTCGATCCAACCTGTTATATCCACTTTTACCGTGAATATATTGGCATATGTGTTGCCCGTATGGTTAAACTGTTATCCTCGCCTTTCTCATACACGTCTGCATGTAGGAGTGCAGCGAGGAGTAACGCTCACAAGAGGCATACTTACTGCTAATAAGGGAATACAAAGTACACCTTAATGACTTTGTTAATAGTAGGTCATGTGTCAGTTCATCAATACTCACAAAAATGCTATTTTACGAATTGTGACACTGATATAATGCACACACAATTCGTGTTGACAGTTTTCACAACATAAAATGGTTTTCATGATGCCTATGATTGGTATACGGCATTTTGCTTTTATTGCCACTTACAACGTGCTTGGAATTAGTATAAGGCTTGGTTGACATTAACGCTTCTAGACATGTGACGCAGCAGAGGCACAAACATCAATGCACTTCTGAAGAGAGATTGGCTCTCATCCCTGTTAAAGGTTTTTACAACCCAAAGGGCTTACAAAACCTTCACATCTCATCCAAACGTGTTGATATTGTGTCCCAAGAGACATGGCTGTATCGAAAGTAAACGCGATATCTAGAATAGAGAATGTCCTGTCGGAAACACAAAAGCATGTTTTATTCTAAATATTTTTCCTCTGACAAACTTCCGCGTAACCGCTATTTCGTAACATCTACCTACCTAGGGCTTTAAATGAAATCATGATTGATTAGTCAAGTAAAATCTATTTTTGAAGAGAAAGCCAGGGTGAATGCAGTAAAGTAATCTCAAATCAGCCATATCTGAATATTGACAGCGCAAAGTGTTGATCTTTTACGCATGTGTCACATAATCAATTATGTAATAACTTTTTGGGTCGTGATTGACATGGGTATTTGGATAAACTCCCGCTCCAGCAAATCACATCTATGATGACTGACAAAGTACGATGAGCACAGCACCCTGTGTTATGTAACGTGTACCTAATCAATCAATGTCGTGTTCGAGTATAACCGGCATCGAAATGAAATATGCACACACAAATTGTTAAAGGAACAGTGAAAATACAGAACCTTTATATTTTCTGATTCAGAGATTGTACATATTAAGTCCTAAAATACAGCGCTCCTATAATATTACAAATTGTTAACAATTGTGCACGAACATTTACATACATGATACATATTGCAATACCATTTAACATATTAGAATACAGAAGAAGAAAAATTATTTTCATAATAACTAAAGTCAAATGCACGATTCCAGGTGTATTGTATGACGCTGTATGTATGTACTGAGTCTATCACTTGATTTTCGCGAAAGGTGAGCGTATCCTGCTCTCACAAACAGAATAAATAACTGATGCAAAGGTGAGTCTTATGTTCACCTGAGTAAAGACGGGTGTACATGACTCATTTAAAAAAGGGAAATACATCGGGCATAATTTTGTTCTGGTTGCACTCAAAAGCCTTGAATTCTGTAACATTGGTAAAAAATCTTTCGTGTAAGTTCAGTCGTACGTCTCAACGTAAAGTGAAAGTTGGCATTTGGAAAATGAAAGATATACCTCTTGTCATACAGTCTTTTGTTGAATCATAGATGTATCTGTCTGTCTACGGATTTCTATAGATCGTTGTAATTCTGTACAAAAATGGAATAAACATCCTACATGCTGAAGAGTCAAGTCAGAATCCGTCGACAGAATTGATGTGTTTTTGGTAGATGGCCGAACATGTGGGGTTTTATTATGTGTCACTGGCGCTCATACAACGTGTTGTGTTGTTTTTGCAAACAAAATGAAGTGATGTTTGCTTATCAGAGATGTATTATTTATATATTTTGTATTGAAGAACTCTTTCCTTGTCAGCTGGTCCGAATTTGGCTGCTGGCTTTGAAAGAACAGGTTGATCCTAATATATTCTCTTCTTTTCTATTCATTTCATTGTATTATTCTTCCAATGACTTAATGGTAGTATCGCATACTGACTCATCCCAGTCCGGAAGGCATTTCACATGACGTTTCACATTTTCCCGTTTTCTGCCCTACTCTTGGCATTCGCTTTGATAGGATGCGGTTGTGATCGTAATTGCAAGCAGGATTTCGCGATATTCTTTCTACAGATTTGACTAATTGATATCGGTTATTACTATCACTGATTATAAGAATTATAGGTCGAGATCAATATAATGAGTCTTGGCAGACACTAGTAGAGTTTACATCACAAGCGATAAAGTTTCTGTAACATCGTCCTATACTTAGTCAACTATGATCAGATGGTATACATACAGGAAAAGAAAAATGTAATGTTTTTTTTTACATTGTTGGACATTTAAAGCGTCAGAAGAGCGTTTCAAAGTAAGATCAAGAAGCATGCTTTGTAGTCTTAACTATGGGCTATAGTATGTAGATCCATCTAAATCTGTTGACGTTCGATTTCTGTCAAGTACACAGTGTCTTGTCTTTTGGTCTTACTTTGTGCACTCGCAATGGGTTTTGGAGGAGGCGCAAACGATCTTTCAAACTGATGGTTTTTGTCCTAGGCCATGACTTCAGCGGCGTATTTTTGGGTGCCATAAACATACTGAAAACAGTTCAGGGGTGTCTGTAGGTCAGAAAATAAAATCGAAGTGTCTACCTTAAGTTTCACTTGAAATACAAATATCTGGCGAATGGTAAACATATCTCTCATTTCACATCTTAGAATCTGATGATTAGTCAATAAACACCTGTGAAGATCTGTGTCAGAATATTCAGTTTCAGCAGCCCATGCTTGTCGCAGTTGACGCTCACGTAGTCGATGCGTGTCTTCGTATCACAATTGCGTAGGTCGATACTTATGATGTCAATCATTGTATTGTCTGGACCAGACTCGATTATCTACAGCTAAAATATTGCTGAGTGCGGCGTTGAACAACAAACGAAAGAAGCAAACATTACACTTAACATCTACTTTACAAAAGCGGTAATTGTAACTGACTATTCTCCTGGAATCTCCAACTTTCATGTGAACCTTCGAGATACTCATCTAAAGGAGGTATATTTGGTCTCGTTCCAATTTCCGCTGTGTTCAGCGCACTGAGTGTAAGTACGTAATCCGTTAAATTGAAGTACATGAGTCATCCAAATTACGATGGCAGACAAATATATTGCCGTTTTAATGATATCACATTAACCTAACAGACACGAAATTCTAACAAGTATTTCATTCAACTCAGTAATAATACGTAAGATTATTTTCCTACATACAGTTAATATAAGAGCCAATCATCTCTTGATCCTCGATATTGACTTTATTGACTACCAAGTTATTGACACGTGTAAGTCCACGTGGGTCTGAGGTCAGAATTATTTGACTGATAAAAACTAATATTATTTTCTGCATTCCCTGAGTTAAAATATACTGTTAAAAATAATTTCATCCTAATTCCTAAAACATAACGGTATCTGTTCCCTCTCTCCATATTTCATCATAGTATTTATTTGAGCAGATATGTACAAAGAATAAGTGACTTATGTAAATAGTACACTGACAACGAAAACTCCAATATTAATGATCATTGTCCAGAACTGGATTTTCATTTACACGTTGAATTATTACCTGAACAATAGAAATACAGTAACCTGACAACCGATCGTTATCCTGTGGATTTTAGGTGGACGTTTGATCAATATGTTGGATTGGTACGAATATTCAAATGTTAAAATGCTTTTTTATTATCCAAAAATTTAACACCCACGTAACTACCCTAAACAGATTTGAGCCAAAAACGAGATAATGCTTTAGCATCACAGACTCTGAGTACGTTTACTTTTTGAACAATATATTTCCTAATACTATACTGATCATGGCTGGCATTACTGATACAATATATACTACAGCGTACTGAAACAAAAAGAAACCCGTTCGAAACCAGACATGACCTGGAACTCATTCAGTATAATGGTTGGAGATATATTTTACCATTATTCACATAGACATGAAATTGTTAGAAGTGTTGATATATTACAGAACATATCTATAAAACAATCCAATGTTTGGCTGGAACTCATCCAACAACGTCGACAAGATCGAATTTTATTCCCAATCCCGATATTTTCTTAAATTCGCGGCTGAAATATTATAAGAACTGACTTGAGAGTCACAGTAATTCTAAGACATATCCTCTCAAATGTGACAGTTTTATGCGCATGTGGTTGCTGTTTCTGTCAAATTAAAACAAAACATCCTACCATAAACAGTTTTTATAGGTACTTTCCCATTGTCCCAGAATGGACTTGGTACCAGCAATATGGATCTCTGCCATAGCTGATGATGAAAATAAATATTCTGTCTTATTTTCCCACAAAACCGCGATTAATGCAGAAACGGAAGCAAGCAAACAAATTCTGCTGCAGGTGTTATTTTGATGTTCAGTGCCTTCTGTTAAGTTCCTGCATCACCATGTTTCATACACCTTACAAACTATGTTGTTTGGTTCATTCAAGCCACGTAGGCTATAAGTTGTTGTTATATTTCAGTACACGTGCATACATATGTCTTGTAAATCAAATAAAATGCAACAAACCATGACCTCAAAGACGTTTGAACATTAACACATCAATCTAATACGTTGCCGGAATACCGTGAGTTCGAGTCCCAGATTCGGTCTGGTAATTCTTGTGGCTGCCCTGCGTTCCTTCCAGATCAAGATGATCAAATGTAATCCAATTCAAATTCGCGGCAAACAAATATTATTCTTACTTCAAAACATTTCATGCTGATATTGGGTAGTTTCTACTCCCTTTATTTATACAGAACTATCTGTATAAACTGGGTCATCTGCCTATAACGAGGACGGCTTTGAAACATCAGTTTTAGTCGAGTCATTATCTAGTACGGTAACCTGTTTCACTAATAGGCAAAGGTGCGCTGTAAATACGCCTAATCTCATTAGAGGTAACACGGTCGGTAGGGTCTTATCGTGTTTGGAGCGGCTTCTTATCTCACTTATTTTCCCACATTCTTTTCTCACCAAGTGCCGTCACATTTCGCATAATTCCTTTCAACTCAGAAAAGAGGTCGTATTCAAAATGAAACTGTGTGTCATTCTCTTTTTTCTGTCCATTCTATCAAACTGCCAAATGGGTGAGTTTAACTTTCTTTTGTCGACCTTACACGTATTCAAACTGCACATCATTAGTATTTATGTACCAATGACTGACAATATGGTCTAGCATGCCTCTGTTACAAAACATGAGCACAAAATACATATACATGGATTAGTATTCCGTTTTTCTCCGTTTAATGAGGATTCCTTGTTGACATTGCTAGCTGCAAGCGACGGCACCTGCACAGTTGAAGGAAATGTCTACAACGCCGGGCAGTCGTTCCCTTCTCCAGATGGCTGCAATACATGTTTCTGTATGAAAGACGGAAACTACGCTTGTACCAAGATAGGATGCATTAATGTTGGATAACTGAGGCAATGCATTTCATGTTCTCCAATAAAATTGAACTGATGACAACCTGACACGGTTCTTGTTCATTTCATATGTGGGCATAACATATAATCTAACACCAAGCATGTACGTTTGCCCAGACAATGATCTTGCGTCCAATAACTACGCCTGAGGTGTGTCATATACAGTTTAAACGTTTCCTTACTATGTTCCCGTAACGGTCTATCATCTCGTTTTCGATCGCTCTATCACACAGACACATGGAAACTGTTGTTATATGTTAGAGACACTTCATACTCTAGCCAGCGCGTATGTCGCTATTTCTGCTGGCTCTACATAATACCGATCCTATCCTCCTCTTCATTAAAGCTTGTGATAGAATAAGCCGTACTAAGCAGTCGGATGAAACTCGATACTACTAATTAGTAAGTGTCAGAATCAATCACATACATTCTATATTTAATTACAAAAATGTGAGGCCGGTGAGGTAGCCTAGTGGTTAAAGCGATCGCTCGTCACGCCGAAGACCCGGGTTCGATTCCCCACAAGGGCACAATATGTGAAGCCCATTTCTGGTGTCCCAAGCCGTGATATTGCTGGAATATTTGCTAAAAGCGGCGTAAAACTAAACTCACTCACTCACACTACAAATATGTGTGACAGAATTGCTGCTTTAATTTATGCATTATAATGGCTGATGACACTTTGGTTCAAAACTGTCGTTTCCATAGCAAACTCTGCTTTTGATAGAGATATGATTATCTAAAGGACTTCAGGTGCCGCTATGTTCATATATATGTCACAAGAAACGTAACAGCTGGCTCATTCTATAATCTAACAAAAAGAATGCTTCTCTGTATATAGCTTGCTTTGGCCAGCCATGAAAACTGATTCAGTTTGTAAAATTAGTTGTTGAAGTCAATTTCCTATTACAAAGTGTGTTATGAGAGTGTGTTTTTTTATGCAATTTGTAATTTGTGATATCACATTGATTAAAATAGTTCTAATGGGTCACAATGTTTAAAGTTTTGAGTGTGAGTTTTGGCTCCCATCTTGCATCATATATGTTCAATGGCAATAGCATTTTTAGCGGCACGCCTTTTTGATAGTGCTTCAGAGTTGCCTCCCTTGGCAATCTTGTTTGTGTACGGTTTTCATCATGCCGTGTGTTCCACATGATTCCATAACGTTCTGAGAGAATAATGATGGAGCCTAGCTTTGCTAGAATGCTCGAGAACTGTGTAAGAGCTATATAACGGCTGGTTGTGCGACACAGGACCTTCACATGACTGGATTTACACACATCCGTCTGCCATCGTCGAGTTTCTCAACATTTCAAGACTGACCGTGCTTGCCTGCTGTCATTGTAAACAACCTTCAATCAGTATATCAGTTCTCACTGTAAATGTCAAGACTCTGGTGAGTTGATATTTTATATTTGTGACCAAATATTTTAGATTTGTGACTCAATTGCATTGTACTAGAAATCTGTATTGCCATTCATTGCAGCTTGCTCATTGTTTGTTCAATATATTATTGAATATTTTAGACTTGTCTGTGTTCTATTTTGCTGGTTCAAAGGGGACTCTTAAACCTTTTGTCACGGCAAATTTATTAACCGTAACAAGTTGCAATACATTCCGGTATTAAGTATTGTCTAACAAAATATAGCATTTGCATCTGCCAAAGTCGCGTGACGCTCTTCGAAAGTTTCCTTGACAGAAGGAGCGGTGTGGTTGGTTGTTTGGTTGGTTTGTTGTTTAACGTCGCACTCAGCAATATTCCATCTATATGTCGGCAGTCTGTAAATAATCGAGTCTGGACCAGACAATCCAGTGGTCAACGGCACGAAGAGGGTTGGGTAGCCTTGTGGGTAAAGAGTTTGCTCGACAAGACGGGTTCGATTCCCCACATGGGTGCAGTGTGTTGAGCCCTTTTATGGTGTTCCCCGCAGTGATATTACTAGAATATTGCTACACGCGGCGTAGAACCTCACTCATTCACTTCTTGGAGCATGCTCGATTGTACCTCAAAGCAAACGCAACTGGAGCTACTGTGATATTGCTGAAAACATGAACTCAAGGGTAAACTGACTGATAGAAAGTTGAGGTGACTCTTCTTCTCATATAATTCTGTGGATAGTTTGTTGTCATTTTCAATTTCTTACTTTGGAATGGAATTGGCTTTTCATTGCTGAACGATAGCAAGTCACCAACATACATCAAGCTTAAAGGCATAGGCAAAATTCCCTTGTTTTGATTTTGCCAATGCAAGCAGACATTTCGATTTATATGCATCAAGAAACAAATCTACTTGGAAGGGAGCTCTCATGTTGATGACTTCCAGTTCCCAAAAGTACACATTGATGTAATGCATGAGGACAACATATTGTTTTCTCAGTAAAGGTGGCAGGTACTTATGTTTCTGACAAATCGTCCCGAATCTATTAAGATACAGATACAACGATATCTATGGCAACCTTGTGTTATGACAATTTCTTCATATAAATTAAGGATTGAGGTTTTTTCTTTATTTATTTTGTGAGATGGTGGTGTACGACGTTATACTGACTGACTGAGTTTGGTTTTACGCCGCTTTTAACAATATTCCAGCAACATCACGGCGGGGGACACCAGAAATGGGCTTCACACATAGTACCCATGTGGGGATTCGAACCCGGGTCTTCGGCGTGACGAGCGAACGCTTTAACCACACTGCTACCCAACAGCCCCTACGACGTTATAACAAGTGTGTGTTCGATGCATGCCAAAGGAACTATTGTTCCAGTATTTTTAGACCCGTGAAAATCCGGGTTACAATTGATCTTCATTAACCTATGCTTGTCGTAAGAGGCGACTAACGGGATTGGGTGGTCAGGCTCGCTGACTTGTTTGACACATGTCATCGTATCCAAATTGCGTAGATCGATGTTCATGCTGTTGATCACTGGACTGTCTGGTCCAGACGCGATTATTTACAGACCGCCGCCATATGGCTGGAAATATTGCTGAATGCGGCGTAAAACTCAACTCACTCACTCCTGCAATGTTACATATATCAGCACACATCATTCACCAAACGGGAAACCTTTCTCTACTCAAACGGAATGTCAAAAGAGATGTTGTTTTAGCAAAGAGGAGATTTAATGTTGATTGTAGTCTGTCAGCACCATCTCTATAGCTGTTAATTCGTTACTCTTTGTATCGTCTTCTACATGCACCCCTTTGGATAAAAAGTAAAATAGGTGAGGGATCAACGTACCACGTGAACTAACTATACTCATATTTACTTAAACGATGTCAGTAAAAATGCGCTGTAAATAATACATTGTATTTAACACTTGAACTACTAATAATGATTCTTTCAGTGAAGCGTGTAATTACACGTACAGATGTTGAACGTGAATAAATCCAGTTGCACAGGGTTACGCACAAATGTGCGTTGTCAGTATCGCCATATCGCTTTTGAAGTGACCCTTATCTTCTTGTTTTTCAAACCATTTTTCGACTTAACTAAATGCTGTCATTCTCCTGTTGATTCCATTTTACTGTGACCGGAGATCTGAGTCGAAATGAAACTGTGGATGTTCCTTTTTTCCGTGTTCATTCTGTCAACCTGCCAACCTGGTGAGTTCAATTTTTTATTTCATTTTTCCATTAATAAAATAATTCACACAACAAAGAAACACATACGTAGATTTTAGATTAAATTACGTCAAATAAGCTAAATACTTAATATCTTGAACCAATTTATAATGTCTAAATTTGTTTGCCGGTTTTACCCAAATTATGCCGAAAAACTGATCATGACTAAACATCACATAAAACACATCTAGTATTCCACTTTTCTTCCTTTAATGCGAATTTTTTACCCTAGCTCCAAGTGATGCAACCTGCACAGTTGACGGAAAAGTCTACGCGACCGGGCAGGATTTTCCGTCTCCCGATGGTTGCAATACATGTACATGTATGGCGGATGGGTACTACAGTTGCACCGAGCTTCCATGCCCTAACCTTGGATAAATGAGACCTTTCACGGGACCAAAATATTCTCATGTACACATGGTGTTACGTGTGAATAGTAAACCTGAAGCGAAAATATATCATCATCTTTGTGTTTTATTGGTATTTGATACATAGATACCATGTAGGTAGGAAGACTAATGATTTATAACCGAATTCCAAGTACTAAACCCTACGTCACACTCTACCTTAAGATACATTTATTTCCAAGTGGTCGTTTTTAAATTAAAGATATCGATTCCAAAAATAACTCTTGATGTTCATATACAGCTTTTCTCTTTCATTTTGTGGACAATGAATACATGTAATTAGGCATGTTGAATAAATACCTCTACCCTCACTACAATCGTATGCCAAATACTTGGCAATGTTTAGGTATTACCTTTTTGACGTTGGTAATTGTAATTTGGTAATTGTAAATTGAAGATTCGGGTCAGTAAACAATGCTTGTCGTAAGAGGCAACTAATGGGATCGGGTGGTCAGGCTCGCTGACTTGGTTGACACTTGTCATTGTATCCAGTTTGCGTAGATCGTTGCTCATTCTCTTGATCACTGGATTTTCTGGTCCAGACTCGATTATTTACAGACCGCCGCTATATAGCTAGAATATTGGTGAGTGCGGCGTAAAACTAAACTCACTCACACTGTAATTTGAAAAAGAGGTGTAAGTGAGGCATGCATATCAGACCATGGACTTAGTGTGTAAACATATTGGAACGAGGAGACACCAACGGTTATATCACACAGAGCGAACATTCAAGTTTCTCACTGCGCTAGCTCTCGGAGCTCTCTGTGCTGTCGCTAGCCATTGCCGCTATCACGACGACCACAACCATGCATAAAGTTTATCACGCAACCGACTAACTGTTATTTTTACAAACAAGTGATGACTGCCGTGGCGCCAAATACTCTTTCACCAGCTACATATTTGTTTTGTATTTGTCAGTATGAATTTCTATTTCATTGCTACCATCGTGTAATTGGTGTAGTAAAAACGTAATGGAGCAGTTGGGTGATTCTCCCTTCGCATGTAATCTGGAACCACTCTGATTAAACGGAGAAATCTTGCAGTATAAATTCATCAGGGTAATGGTACGTCGGTCGGAAATCTGTTCAAGATTCACCATCATTGCTTTTCTAAGAATATACACAGGGATAGAAATGAGGCTGCATTTGGGGTTAGAGGGAAAATTTTAAGATTCTTGTAATGACCTCCTACATATTAGTGGCAGCTACATGTCTAACTACTTCATATTTTGAAACAATTTTTATGTCTGAAATTTGCCCAGTGTGCCGAGTGTGCAGAATTGGTCATGGCCAAACAACACAAAACTAATCTTCCACTTTTCTCTTTTTAATGTGGATGTTTTACTTTACTACTTGCAAGTAACGTCCCCTGACGTCTCTGTAAAAATGTATTTTAATAGAACAATTAGAAGAAGCTACATATAAATTCAAAAGTTGCATCCTGTGAGATTGTAGATTAAGAAATACGGACTTGCTTCATTTAGTGCTATAGTATTACCGTAAAGGGTTGGGAAAGGAGTACTATGTGGGTTCGGGGACTGTGAGACAGACTAGTGATGATATTTGAAGGGTAACGAAGGCGTCACACATTGGTAATGAACTGGGGGCGAACATTGTTCAATGGGACGTAACTTCCATACCAGCTCATACCAGGAAGGCCGAGTTTATTGGATAGGTATTACACGTACATATATTTGTATAGGCTTGGAAGTTTCACAAAATGTCATATAGAAGAAGAATCTTCAGTTTGTTGGAATTAGAGTAAGGGCAAACAACTTTAAGTTTTAAATATTTACCTGGGCCTAGATTTTCCAAGCTATCTTAGTGCTAAGATAGTCGTAAGTGCCATACATTAACATCAACTAACGACTATCTTAGCGCTAAGATAGCTTCGAAAATCTAGGCCCTGATCTTTAACTAGCATTTACATATGTTTTGTTTGTTTGTTGCTTAAAACCGCTTCCAGCTATATGAAAACGGTTGGTAAATATAGTCAATCCAGTGATCAACAGCATGAGCACCGGCATGTGTCGGCCGAACAACACGTATTTGGCATGTTTCAACCAAGTCAGCGAGCCTGACCACCCGATCTCAAACATAGTTTGGTGAAGACCAATTTTCTTTACAAGTGGTTATACATTTTAAGTATAATCCCTTAATGTAACTTGGTATGAAGCGACCAGGGAATTAAACCATTTTTCGAGAAGACCATGGAGGTGTTAAGGACAAATTTCGCCTGCAAAAATAGATCAATACGATCATGCTACATTATGGTATTATGTTTAAAAGTATACAAAGAAGTTTACATCTTTCTTGAGGCGTTATATCACATTGGGAGGAAAGCCGAAATTGATACCTGTGTTACATGTTTACCACTTGAAACCAACAAGCAGAGGTGTGGGACCGCCAAACACAATCAAAGCGAACACGGATTCCAACATGAGTGAGTGAGTTTAGGTTTACGCCGCACTCAGCGATATTACAGCTATATGACGGCCTCTGTAAGTAATCGAGTCTGGACCAGACATTCCAGTGATCAACAGCATGAGCATCGATCTACGCAATTGAGCCTGACCACCCAACCCCGTTAGTCGCCTTTTACAACATGCATGGGTTCCTGAAGATCAATTCTTACCTGGATCTTCACGGGACGAATCAAGGCGAGTTTCAGGCACACACAATGTGAAGAAAGATGATGGAAAATTAAATACATCTCCATGGAATGTACTTATTTAAAAACAAAATAGCCGCAACATCCTAACATGCATGAGCGCATGTTTTTGGAATATGATCCCAACGTGTACTTTCTTTTATGCGTCAGTTTAACCCAACACTGAGGCTTGGGTCCAGACACTGTGTACGCCGGCTGGGTACAACTGTCATTTTTTCATTAAGCATAAATTGAACCATTTTTGCATTTGGGAACTATTCTATGGCAGAGTGTCCTTATGGTTAGTGAGTATGATTGTCCACCACTTTGAGCAATATTCCACCAATATCCAATAAGAGATGTGTGCTTCATATAATACACCCATTTGGGAAAATTGAACCCAGTGACCTAACGAACACTTGAAACACTTCGCTACCTCACGACCCATATGATGTTTTTATGATATTGTAACTGTAACTGACAGGGACCAGCGGATCTGGACCTCACGTTCTGCACATAAAACTGCAGTAGGTTGCAAATGATGATTGAAATATAATCTATACATAGTTAGAATCTGTACATTCATTTCAGACTGCTCATATCTGGCAAATGTCACTATTATAAATATTATATCGCAATAATCGTGCCGTTAGAACTAGTCATGTCGGAGGAGATTCATAGCAACTGCCAGATTATCTTAATAATCATGATTAATAGTGAAATAATACTGTGCAACTGGTGTCGAAATAACTACGATAGAAACCGTCACTTCAAGCATGATAACCTGTAACTATATTACATGTTTCCCACACATGTTTTGTCTGTTAAATACAAGTAAGATGAGGTGCAATTAGATTCTGCATTGCTTGGAAAACCGCATTTAAGACTTCTTACTTCTACAGTGTTTACATACGGAACAAAAAAAGAAACTTCACATTTGGAGAAATGAATTATATTGACAATGGGTGGTAATACAAGGTATTTAATAGGTACGAATACCATAATTGCCAGGTCTGATGTGACGCTGCCGCCCATTTCAACGGTGGTGAACCTTGCTGGGTGGATGCAGTTCGCGACAACATTTGTAACAACGTGTGCAGAATTTGCAGGTGATTACAAAAAAACACAGATTAACATTCACTGAAAGCGAAACAATTGTCATGCCACTCATTACAAATGTTAAACGAAAACTTGCAATTGGCATGCTCCAGGCTGACCAGTCTGTTGATCGTGCCATGAGATGCAGTTGACGGACAATTCACAACCCGAGGACACGTGTGCGACATCTGCTCGCCCCAGGACAGGACGGCCACTAGAGACGTCACATTCTCTGGACAAGCAAATTCGGCTACGTTATTTGCGTAATCATCTCTCGACCGTAACGCCAATCGGTAACGCACCGTGGTCGCGTAACTGCACAGACCATACGAACCGCTTGCGCTGCCTATCTTCGTGCCCGACGTCCTTATGTTGGGGCAATTGTAATACAGGTAAACCGACATGAACGTCTACCCTTGGAACAATTGCACCTCCGGAACCAGAGAAGAGGGTTGTGTTTAGCGACCAATCGCAGTACGCTGCGTTCTGCCTACGAAATAGTGCGAACATGGCGTCGGAACATCGCTGCGTACAGGAAGTTGATGGATTTCGTTGCGAGAGCGTAATGGTTTGTGGACGATTCTGCAACTTTCTGTCTTCTCGTAATTTGTGGGAACCTTGTGACGGAGCTGGTGCCGTTCATGGTTGCTCATGGTCCAGGCCTCCAATTCCAACTTTACAATGCGACTCCACACACAGCTTTTTTGACACAATTCCTGCAAAGTACGGCTATTGGTGTCATGGAATGGCCATGAAGATCACCTGTCCTCAGCACCATTGAACACGTATGGGATGTTCTTGGAAGCCTTCGTGCCTTGAGACGTCAGGCCCAGAATGTGGTATTGCCTAATGTTGTGTTCTCAGGTGTTATGCAGTAAATTAGACAACTTACCTTGTTATTGCGAGAGGGGCATACACTGAACAAGCTCCAATACAGATGGCAAGTCCATGTGAAATACTGCTACTGTTGACTTTGGAGGGTGCACCAAGCGCACCCTAATGCCAAAATTTAATTTATCCGATGTCAAACACGCTTTGTTCCATATGGTTATGTTTGGGACATAAAGTAACATGTCTGAAGTTTCTGTTACATTGCATATATATACATATGTGTGCTAAATATCGATTCGATTAAATATAGTTTCCTACAACAAAGAGCCGGGTCAGAAAGGTCACTCTTTTCTAACAGGTTACTGTTGAGTCTAAAAAGCTAAAAGCAAAGCCAGAGCTTTTTTATAGTAACTGTGACTAATTCGGAGTCCCCCGACAAGTATAGCTCCCAGGTAGCCTGTGCTATTGGACTGATATCGACATGATGTGTGTAGTTCGGCCGATAGTGAGTCATCGCATTGATCATCTACAAAAATGTCTGTTCTACGCTCGTACGTTCACTCATGTATGAACACTGATGACATCCGCTTATAATATATTTTATCTACATTCGAGAGTTCATCCATCATCTATTGTTGATGCAACAGCCTATGACAATCTCTCCTCAACGCAGCGAATGAATATGCTCATCTATGCCTTCTTCTCAGAAGCATCGTTCACGTTGTAGGTATGT